TACATACATAATTAAACCAGTCTACCTGTCTGAATTATGGCATTGGAGAAGGAAGATGAGTGAATATGTGTTTTTTGCTAAAAGATCATTTGAGTCTTTTCATTCAGCTGAAATATAAACAAATGTTTATGTCGAGTAATCTAATAAAGACTAAAATATGCTCTGAATTTTATATACAAAAAATAAACAGTTTGGGTTTGAATGGATAATGCTAAAATAAAAACCTAAATAGAAAACATGATTATCAAGTTTTGATAGTACTATGAAGTATGAAAACGATTGTACATTTAAAAACATCAATGAATTATCAAAACTAGAGCATCTGAGTTTGTGTCAAAAATCCTGGAGTCCTCCTATCTTCTGTTATTTTCCCATCACTATTCCTTCTATTTCTCTTTATAGCATTTATTATCATTTATGATTATATTCATGTTTGTACACATATTTACTGCCTGTCTCCCCACCCTATGCTATTATTCATTCATTCAGCAGGTAACTAGTGGGCACTTGATCAATGAGTGAAAAACAATTGGTTTCAACTATGTAAGCCACATAGAAGCCGAGCATATTTGTTTTCACTGGTGCTGAGTAAATGTACTGATTTTATCTTAACTGTTAACTTTGCTAGTGCCATATGCCAACATCGAGTATATTTCACTTACGTAACACTTATTTTTCTATTGCCTCAAAGGACTACATGCAGCAAACGTCTAAAGACACGTTTCAGGGGTCTGTAAAACTGAGAGTGGACATACAGTCTCTCCTCTACTTAATGATATCTCTCTTTCCTACCTTCCTGCAATGGAAGATAGGAAGGGAACATGGAAACACAGTGGACTGTACTGGATTTGTCTAGGACTTCTAAACTGTTCATTGCATTTCAACTTAGCCACAAAAAATCACAAGCACTCTGCTAAAAGACCTCAGATACGACTTTCAGTGGCCCGTGTCACCACCAGAACGCCACTCCACATTTGTCTGCAGATCCTCTCATGCACTGTTCTAAATAACCTGCTGCCAACATCTCCCTCTCCACCATACCCAAGGGGCCGACTACTCTCAGACTGACTGCTGGCTATCTAATGTTGACCACCTCAATCCTGTCGTCTTTCTACCTCAATAAAAAATCCTGTTTCGAGGAAGTTCTAGAAATCTATTCTTTTTCCATAGATGTTTCATGTGATATGATTAAACTCCCACTAAGATGTGAATAGTTAACAGACATACCTTTTATCAGGGGTGGGAGGAAGGTGCTAAAGTGAATCACTAACTAGAGTTTTTTTGTTTTTTTTTTACTGCATGTACAGGGGAAGACTTCTTAGCTAAATACTTTCTGTTCCTTTTTTTTTTCCTTAAAGAGATTTTTTGCTCTTAAGGCGCATGTGCTCACTGGAGAGACAGAAAGAGACAGAAAGGAAGAAATCACCTCACTCCCCATTCTCCTCTCAGGATCTTGGGCATGCACACACATGTGCCCGGTGTGAGTTTTAAGCCACTGGGTATGGGACTTGAACCATGGTCAGGTATGGGAGTCCAGTGACATAACCACCATACCATCGGCTGGTCCCACTTTCCGCTCCTTTAGCATCAGAAGATAAAATAACAATTATATAGAATTAGCATTGCAAACATACACCTACTCCAGGACAACTCATCACCAAGCCAGATCTGCCAGAGGTCTTTGCTCAGTAGAACTATATGATGCTACAAAAAGACTCCAATACTATCATTTTGCCATTAACCTAGGGTAACGATTTACATTACCATACTGCAAATCTTGCTTTTTATTTCAAATACAAGCAACTTTTCTTACAGTCTTTTTTTTTTTTTTTTTGGAGAGATTTTCACTGTAGGGCGTGTGCGCTCGCCAGACAGACAGAGAGAGACATAAAGACAGAAAGCGAGAAATCACCCCCCATGGGGGATGGTCACACCGCAACCCCTTCTCCTCCATTCTCCTCTCGGGATCTTGGGCATGCATGCACACGCGCCCAGCGTGAGTTTAAGCTACCAGGTCCGGGACGTGAACCACGGTCGACTACGTAGGAGTCCAGCGACATAGCCATTATGCTAACTGCTGGTTCCCCTTACTACAGTCTTTTTATATAATTACTATTTTAGTTAATCCACGTTAACCTCTTCAGCACAAAATCTGGAAGAAAAGTCACATAAAGAAAGCTATTGGGGACCAGCAGATGGCCTAATGGTTATGTTGCTGGACTCCCACGTAGTTGACTATGGTTCGAGTCTCAGACCCAGCAGCTTGAAACTCATGCCAGGTGCATGTGTGTGCATGCCCATGATCCCGAGAGGAGAGCGGAGGACAAGGAATTGTGGTGTGGCCTTCCTCCCATCAGAGAAAGGCATTTCTCACTTTCTGTCTCTCTGTCCCTCTCTGGTGAGCATATGTACCCTACAGCAAAAATTTCTCCAAGAAAAAAAAAAAGAAAACCAGGTCAACTTCTAGGTTTTCTGCAAATGACATCTGATTATATGATATTTCATATAATAGTCCACATAATTATTTGACACATATTTTCAAAATTAGTAAAAGATTTAAAAACACAGTAAGAAGCAGAGCTATGATTTTTTTTTTTTTTTTTTAGATATAAGGCACATGCCCACAGACGTGGGGGAAAGAGAGAGAGAGAGGTGTACCCTTGACAGGATCTCATCACTCCAGACCCTGTTTGTTGGTGACCTAACCATCTGTTCTCTTTGTTGTTTTGGTACTTCTACGTTTTTATTTTAATGGATTCTAAGAGAGAGAGTAGTCAGATGCTGATGACAGGATCACATCTCCAGCCTTCTGGCTCCTCAGGATCCTGGGTGCCTGTGCATATGCCTGGTGTATTTTCAGGCCAACAAGAAGATCTGGACCCAAGGTCACACAATGTTTTTCAGTTTTGCAGAGAACTTGTATTATCAATATGCCATAGCAGCTGGGCCTGATTTTAAACCTTCTTAATTGAACATTAATATTTACACAAAGTAGGCAAATAAAAATATGTTCCTTTGAAGAATTACATTTATACAATGGCTGCAGTGACAGTCAGCCCCATAGTATATGTTGTGCATATTACAGTAATGCTTAAGATTTAGGCTGCCATAAAAACACAATGAGACCCTGGCATTTGATAGAAAACTGGTGAATATGGAAGATTTACTGCAAAGGAAAGCAAGCCAGACTATGAGAGAGGCATCGTATATCTCCATATATACTGAATGTCTGCACTCTGTGAAGAAACTTAAAGATTAAGGGACCAGCAGTTAGCATAATGGCTATGTGGCTGGACTCCTACGTAGTCGACCGTGGTTCGCGTCCCGGACCTGGTAGCTTAAACTCACGCCGGGCACGTGTGCATGCATGCCCAAGATCCCGAGAGGAGAATGGAGGAGAAGGGATTGAGGCATGGCCATCCCCCCTGGGGGGTGATTTCTCGCTTTCTATCTCTCTGTCTCTCTCTGTCTGTCTGGTGAGCGCACGCGTCCTATAGCAAAAAAAAAAAAAACTCAAAAAAAAAAGATTAAAAGATATAAAAGCATGGAGAACCATGGATACTAAAGACATTGTGGGAGGAAGGGAATCAAGGAGGAAAAAGAAATAAATGAAAACATGTAAGGGTCACAAAAATGGTAATTTATCTGTTGATGATAACATGTATGACAATATATTTAACTGGACTAATATACAGTGTATCCATGCTTGGAAAATTCATTTGCATGCTGTAAGTATACAGTGATTGACTATATATAAATATAAATATAAATATATATATACATAAAGAAAAAACACAATTAGCAGTATGAGTGGTGTAGTAAGCATGTTTTAGTAATCTCTCTGAATATTTATGCTTTAAAAACTCATCAATATAAAATATTTTTCAATTTATTGTTTATGGCCCAAATAATTTTTCAAGTTATTTGTCTTAATTAAACAGCATTTCTTATTTTATAATCTGTTTTGGAGAGGACCACTAAACATGATGGCTGAATTAAGCCAAACAAGTATTCATTAAATGATTAAATTTCAGTAAAATAAATAAATGGATTGATTTTAGACTGCAGTTGCTTTGGTTAAAATGCCTGAAGTGGACGCTAATGCTCATTACGAGTTGAACCCATGTGGTTCTGTTTGGTTCAGTAACCTGAAAGTAAACTTTTTTCCTGATGAAAATTTCAGGACGTAGGAAATGAGATCTTGAAGATCAATGAGCACTGGGCTGGCCCCACAGCTTGTGGTTAAGAGCCATGCACTAGAAACCAGATCCCACATGGCCAACCGTGGTCTGAATCTCAGCCCCATCAGCTTGAAAAACTGCTGGGTGCATGTGCATGTGTACCCAAAATCCTGATAGGAAGAAGTGGAGAAAAGGGATTCTAGCATGACTAAGCCCCACTAGGAAATGCTTTCTCTCCCTCACTCTTGCTTTCTCTCTCTCTCTGGCAAGCATACATACCCTCTAGCAATAACAATAAAAAACAAGTTAAAAAGTAGATGAATGATCATTATATATTATAGGCATAGGGATCAGCAGATGGCATAATGATTACATTGCTGGACTCCCACAGAATCAACATCAGTTTGAGTCCCAGACCCAGTGGTTTAAAACTCACGAAGGACATGTGTGCATGCATGCCCAAAATCCTGAAAGGAGAATGGATTGCAGTGTGGTCATCCCCCCAGGGGTGATTTCTTGCTTTCTGTCTCTCTCTGTTTCTTCAGTGAGCATATGTGCCCTAAAGCAAAAATCTCTACCCCCCCCCAAAAAAAATATATATGTATGTATACATACATACACACACACACATATAAAATAGGTGTAAACTGTTCAGCTGACTGGGCTGAATGTACCCTGGAATATGTTTTTTAATAAATCTTGTTCATCTATTTTTATTTGCTTGGTTCAAATAAGGTATCACTGGAAAGAGTCTAGTTAATAAGTTCATTGTAATTTCAGTACAAAATATTATGACCCAAAGACACCCCAGTTACCTACCTAAGCGATGAAATCCAAAGGTGAACCTTTTGGTTGGCGATTTTGAAGACAGCCACAAAGCAAGTAGGGTGAGTATGATGGCACTGAGGTCAGTTAACATATGAAGTGCGTCTGTCATGATTGCTAGGCTATTTGCAATGTATCCACCTTAACAGTGAGGACAGAAAAATGAACAAATTAATTTAAAAGATAAACATAAGCAATCAAACCAGAAATAAGTTAATATCCAATAAAACATAAATGTCTGTCTGAATTCTATCCTATTGGGTAGTCAGAAAAGTCATGATGCACTTTTCATGGAAAGACATAGAAAAATACATCATGACTTTTCTGATGATGCAATATTATAATTAAATTAATGCATTCTGAAATTTTATGCAAAATGTCAGATATGTGTATATTATTCTGGTGAGGATGTCTATTTCTTTTTTTTTTGGTTTGGAGAGGTATTCACTATAGGACTTGTGCGCTTGCCACACAGACAGTGAGTGAGAGAGAGACAGGAAGAGCATGGTGATGCTGCAATCCCTTCTCCTCCATTCTCCTCTCCAGATCTTGGGCATGCACGCACACACACCTGGAGTGAATTTAAGCTACCAGGTCAGGGACTCGAACTGCAGTTGACTACATGGGAGCCAGCGACATAGCCATTACACTAACTGCTGGTCCTGAGGATATCTATTTCTATTGACAGATTTTTTTAAGTAGTCAATGACCTTGAAAGAGTGAAGAACTACTAAAGTGGGGGCAAACATGTTGAGAAAGTTCATGTTTAGGCACGGCAGCTTTTCCTCAATGTACTAATTTTACTAGTAGACAGTGAATTAATAACTATATCCAAGTATCATAACAAAGCTGAAGATATATGTTCACTTGTTTGAGAGTTTGCACATAAGCTAAAGAAACCCACAAAATGTACATTAGTACAACACAAAAGATAAAAATTAACCAATTCACATGGATGTAGGTAGCAATGTTTCCAAACAGAGGGACAAAAGGGACAACTTTTTTGGTATTATTTTCCAGGCACTGTACACAAGTCTATTTTACATATCTGCATGTGTGGGTTTATGTATGTATAGTCTCATCATGGACAACCAATTTTCCTACCACCATTCACTGAGTAGGCTTTTAATCCCATAGTATACTAGCACTCAAACTTTCATGTGCATCGGCATCTCCTGCAGGGTTTGTGAAACTACAGACCGCTTGATCCTACCCCTAGAGTTTCTGATTCAGTAGATCAGAGATGCGAACTGAGAATTTATACTTCTAACATGTTCCCAGGTGCTGCTGATGCTGCTGGTCCTGGAACCACACATCGAGAATCACCGCTATAGTGCACAGCAGAACTGTATGACCACATAGCGTGCTGAGTGAGTGATCATCCTCACTTCTGGGCTGGGCGTGCAGAGCCAAGAGCAGTAGGATCTGATTGTGGTTGATGATCTGATAGTCACATCCATTGACTTCTGTGTATTTTGTGCAACTACAAGTTTATTTATTTATTATTTTGGAGAGGTTTTCGCTATAGGGCGCGTGCGCTCGCCAGACAGACAGAGACAGAGAGGCAGAAAGCGAGAAATCACCCCCCAGGGGGGATGGTCACGCCGCAATCCCTTCTCCTCCATTCTCCTCTCGGGATCTTGGGCACACACGCACACATGCCCGGCGTGAGTTTTAAGCCACCGGGTCTGGGATGCGAACCGCGGTCGACTACGTGGGCATCCAGCGACATAGCCATTACGCTAACTGCTGGTTCTCTATTTATTTAAGGTTTTTGCCAAAGGGCATGTGTGTTCCCTGGAGAGACAGAGAGAAAGTGAGAAATCACCCCCCAGGGGAGATGGCCATGCTGCAGTCCCTTTCTCCATTCTCCTCTTGGGATTTTGGGCGTGCACACATGAGGCCTGTGTGATTTTCAAGCCGTCGGATCTAAGACTTGTACCAAGGGTGGCCATGTGAGAACCCAGCACCTTAACCACCAAGCCACCTGCTGGCCTTCTTACAGTAACTTGTTCTTTTTCTTCATAGCACTTGAGGAAATCTAAATTTTAAATCTGTTTGAGTGTTTGTTTAATATCTATCTTCTCCATTACAGTACATATTTCAGACAGTAAGGATCGTAATATCAATAGTTTTGTTTTCCATTGTATTTGTATTGTATTCAGAACATGCAGTATCCCACAGATTCAACCAAAAGTAGATCATAATTATTTAAAAAGACAATTGGTTTCATCTGTACTAAATATGTACACTTTGTTCTAGTTATTATTCCCTAAACAATATGGTGTAACCATTTACATAGTATTGGGTCTCATAACTAATCTAGAGGTGATTTAAAGTATAGAGTATGATGTTTGTAGGATATTGGCAAATACTATGCCATTTTACAAAGGAGACATAAGTGTTTACTAGTTTTGGTATCTGTGAAGACCCCAGAACCAATTTCCTATGGATACCAAGCGATAACTGTATTCAAAAAAGACTTGCTGAACAGAAGGAAGAATGAATGTACTTGTTGAGACCAGCAGATGATGTAATGGTTGTCACTGGACTCCCACATGGTGGATTGCAGTTTGAGTCCCGGACCTGGCAGCTTGAAACTTGCTGGGCACATGTGCATGCATTCCAAAAATCCTGAGGAGAATGGAGAAGGGACTGTGGCATGGCCATCCCGCCTTGGGGTGGGGAGTGATTTCTCACTTTCTGTCTCTCTGTCTGGTGAGCACATATGCCCTATAGTAAAAAACCTCTCTTAAAAAAAAAAAAAAAAAAAGAATGTACTTGTTTAAGGTCTTAGGATAAGTTAGTGCCAAAGCCAATATTAAAAATCAAGCATCGTCTTTTGCATTTTAAAATTACTTCTTTTTTATTTTTTCAAATTTGCCAGAGGATACATGTGCCTGTTGGAAAGAGAGTGAGAGGATAAAAAAAGAGAAAATAAGAAAGTACCCCCATGGGTAGTTGTCAAGTCTCAGTCCCTTCTCCATTTCTCCGTCCTTTTGGGAGTTTGGGCACGCACACACATCTGGTGTTTTTCAAGGTGCAGGGTCCAGGACTTGAACTGCGTAGTTCATGTGGGATCCAGCTGCCTTAACCACCATGTCATGGGCAGGCCTACTTCACTTTTTTATAATTCCACATTTCTTACATAAGAGCTTTATGTCTAGGTGCTTTGTACACCCTTTAGTAAATACTCTACTTACTATGTACAATTTGATTCTATATAACATTCTGAATAATACTGCTAATGTCCATCCTAAATACTATTATCTTTTATTTAACAAAAGGTTTTTATATTTGAAAATAAAGCCACTATTTGAAAGAAAATATTTATTCAATGCTCTCACAAAATAACATATACCAAATAAAAGATTTTAGAAATGAGAAGTCAGGGGCTGGCTCTGTGGCCTGGTGGTTAAGGCAGCCAGATCCTACATGGCTGACCACTGGGTTAGAGTCCTGGACCCGGCAGCTTGAGAAACACCCTGCGCATATGTGCATGGGTGCCCAAAATCCCAAAAAAAGGGAGACAGAGAAGGTGTTGTGGCATGACCATTTCCCATGGGGAGTACTTTCTCCTATCCCCTCCTCTGTCTCTCTGTCTCTGGAGAGCATATTTACCCTGCAGTAAAAAAAAAAAAAAAAAAAAAAAAAGAAAGGGAAAGTCAGGACAATTACATCTTAATGATTTTACTTAGGTAAACTCTAAATTAATTTTAAAAGGAAAAATTGTAATATTGTTAATATTGTTTTAACTTCAAATATTAAATATTAACTTCAAAAATCGCTAAGTCTGAGTGACTCAATTCAGCTGTATACATCTGAGAAATCACTGAATCTTAGTCTGCTGAGATTATGCCTTATTTGGCCACAGCTTCACTCTTGTCTTAATGTCTGCATAGCTTATGTATTTATACTTCTCTAACAAGAGTAAAAATTAATTAAACAGGGACCAGAAGTTGGCGTAATGGCTATGTCGCTGGACTCCAATACAGTCAACTGGAGTTCAAATTCCAGACCCAGTGGCTTAAACTCATGCCAGGTGCGTGTGCATGCGTGCCTAAGATCCTTAGAGGAGAATGGAGGAGAAGGGATTGCGGTGTGGCCATTCCCCCAGGAGGTGATTTATTGCTTTCTGTCTGTCTCTCTATCTTTCTGGCAAGTGCATGTGCCCTACAGCAAAAACCTCTCCAAAAAAAAAAAAAAAATTAAACAAAAATTTATTGAGCATCTACTTTGTGCCAGTCACTGTTCTAGGTGCTAGGAATTCAACCTGTATTTTCACGGAGCAAAACAGATATTAAACAAGTAAATAAATAAGAAAATCTCGGATGCTGAGGGCTTTGAAAATTGGAGAGGGAACAGGAGACTAAAGATTTTAGTCAGAAAAGGTCTCTCAGAGATGTCTTCTGAGAGAAGACATGAATGACAAGAAACTAGCCATAAGGTTTCAGAAAACATTGTAGTCTTTTTCAAACTGTAGGCCTTGACCTACTAATGGACCACGAAATCAATTTCATGGGCTGAGACCACAGATGAAAAAAGATTCGAATACATTACATGAAATAACACTTTTGTTTCAGTTATATGTATGTTTATAAATGTGTATGTATGTGTGCATACATACATGCATGCCTACACGGGTCATAATGTTAAGTGCATTTCTTACTATAGTGAGGTCAAAAAGGTTTGAAAGCCACCTAGGTAGAGGGACCGGCCAATGTGAAGGTCTTAAAGGCAGGAAAAGAGCTTCGTGAAGTCTTAGGAAGAGAAAGAAGGCTGAGAAGGCTAAAGTGAGCGTGGGGAAGAAGTGGTATGAAATGGGATAGGAAATGGAAGTAATTTTCCTTGACCTCCAGTCAAGCATCTGAAATAAGAACTGCCACATTTGTCCTCATCATGGGTCATTAAGAGATAACATGGGAAAATCACTTCCCTGCTTTCATGTCACCTTTAAACTGTCACTAAGAAATTGGCAGTTACATTAAGGTGCTTGAGGATATTCTCTATGCTAACAATATCTCTTATAGTCGGAATATTATTTGCAAAATTACGAAATGAAAAAGAACACCAAATTCATAAAACTTGGAGGTACCCTCCAGTTACAAACTCTCCTTACAATGAAAAGCTTTCATGTTAGTTGGTACCACTTAATCCTGCAAATCTCTTGGCTTTAAATACAGAAGAGAAATGGTGTGAAGAGACTACCTAGGTCAGATGTAGAGAAAAAAACCCAAGAGACTGGGACTATAGACATGGCTTTCCATGAACCACCTAAGGAGCCTCACAACTTATTTAACTTCTCTGGGCCTTCAGAATCCTGAAGTGTAAAAAAAAAAAAATCCTGTGTGTAAAGAAGTTGAAGCAGGTGTTCAACAAGGTCCCTTCCTACTGCAAAACTCTCTGATCCCAAGGAATTCTAGAAGAATCATTTATGATCTTTAATGTGGCAATTATCCTGGCGTTTCATCGGAATTTTTTTTTTTAAAGAGGAAGTTATAGGGCCAGCAGATGGTGTGGTGGATAAGGGCGCTGGATTCCCACATGGCCAACCATGGATCAAGTCCTGGACCTGGTGGCTTGCTTTCTCACTTTCCCTTTCTCTCTCTCTCTCTCTCTCTCTCGTCAAATAAAGAAAAAAATAACAATAACAAATGGAAATAAATAATTCTAAAAAAAAAAAAAAGAGGAAGTTACATGATACACAATGAGGACAATGTCCTGGGCTTCACAGTAGATGACACAGTGTTCAAAGAATTACAAGACAAAGCCCAAATTATCCGGGGCAGTTTATGTTGTGCTTAGGTTGATCTGCACTTTGGAACCCTGTGGCCTTTTCCCATCAAGAGATCAGTATCTTGGTAAACAACAAACTTCCTGCAAAGAAAGCTTAAATCTCAAATCAAGTGTAACTACAACTTGACAAAGACTCTCCAGGCAAGGTAAATGCAAAGTGAGTTGGCGACACAACTCACCTACAAGTTCTCCAATCATGAAAAGCAAGTACAGAAGGGCGGCAATGGTCAACCTGGTTTTCACCTTTCTCTGCTTCAGGAACTCCCTCTGTTTGCTGCAGTTGTCACAGGGGTCCACCTTCAAACTCAACTGACTGTTGGTCAAGGGTAAGTCCTGGTCCAATAAGGAATCGTCGTCGGCCAGGAGGGCTGGGGGCGCCCCATTAATAGGCCTTTCCGGGGTTTCGGACCCATCATCGGCCACCATAACTCGAAGTTTGTTAAACCGAGAAAGTCCCGCATCCCCCACCTCATCCGAGAAGTCAAAGGCGCTGGTGTCATTTAAAAACAGCGGCGCATCATCCTTCCGCAGCAGAGATTTGAGGCGCTTCCACGCGCCGGAGCCGGCCATGGCCGAGGCGGGGCGGAACGGCTCCGGCGCGGCCCGCCCGGGCGGGCG